CTTCTGTATCATTCTCAATTGGATGGTTACTCGGTTCCATTGTGCTATCTGCTCTGGCTTTGACTACTTGGACTTCAGTGTGATTTTGCATTCTGGATTTCTGTGCTTCGTCCATATTCATGTTCCTTGCATCTCTCTCTCTCTCTCTCTCTCTCTCTCTCTCTCTCTCTCTCTCTCTCCACACGACCCAAAGATGGAAAATGCAAAACGAGTATCTTTGTTTTTCAATTTCTTTTTTTTTCATGGAAGAATGTCGAATTTTTTTTTTCTTTTCTTCCGATGTGTACCTACCATTAGCTCGAGGCTCAGCAAGGTTCGGGATACCGGTAGGCTGAGCCATGGGCCTTAACAACCACTAGGTACTGGTGGTTTAAGCCACCAGTATCTCCCAGTCTCTTTGTCCCCATGGCGGATTTCTACTGCGCGCCAAGAAGGCTGATGCCAGCGTCCATTTTGGTCCAGCAGCACTGCTCATTTGAGATCTTATGGTGGTTGAATTTTTCGCACAAGTTTGCCTCGGACAGGTACCGGTGGTGTAACACCACCAGTACCTCCAAGCTTCCTTTTCCCCGTTGCAGATTCGCACCGCGTGCCAAAAAAAAGCAGGCTTTTCTTCTTTTTTTGGCTGGCTCGGCTACCCATTTTGGTCTGCCAGCATCGTTCATCCCGAAGTCCGAAGACTCCAGATTGTCGCAACAATTTCAATTCTCAAGTTTGCCTGGGTGAGGTACTACTGGTGGTTTAAGGCTGTAACAGAATCTCTACCTACAGGTCTTGCGTTCGAATCCCACCATTCACAACAAGGATTTGAAATGGCAGAAAACCTCTGAAAGCATTGCGGCAGGTTGCGCGGTTCGAATCTCGGCACCTTGATCGCCCAGCTGCTGAACCTGAACCCATCACCCTTGCGTCTCAGATCCCCAGTTGACCTCCATGTCTGCATCCTAGTAGCTAGTAAAGGGGTCAAGTTATATGAGGCGGTCTTTTCCTGACTGAAGAGGCAGGTTGCAGCAAAGACCGGATAACCACAGGTGTGGCATACTGCGTAGCCACACGGGCCCTGCAGGGCCCGTCCCGCACTTTCAGCCTAAAAGCCTAAAACATAGGGCTTACAGGCCCCGGTCTTTTCAGCCTGAAAGCTGAAAAACGAGGGCCTGCAGGCCCTACTCCGTTTTCAGCCTATTTCTGGGCCTTTCAGGCCCAGAGGCTTTCCAGCCTGAAACGGAGGGCCATTTTCAGGCCCTCATTTGTTTTGACCTGCCCTAAGACTCAGGCACGAAAACTGGGTTTCGGAACAGGCTATTTCTGGCCTGTTCCCCACGCCAGCTGAGCAGGAGCTGCAGCTGCAGCCCCTGCCTTCCTTCGGCATTGGCAAGAGCAGCCTCCTGGACTGCTGGCCCGAGTCAGGAGGCACACTCGGTAGTACATAGGAAGTTCCCATGCACTTCACGGGTAGGTAGTTGTCAGTAGGCACGAGTAGTCTTCAGGATTCGGCCGCAGCACTCAGGAGGAGCGCTGCAGTAGTCTTCAGCGCTAGGCAGTAGTATTAGCGCTAGTAGTTGTCTTCGGCGCTGGGCGCCCATAGCCATAGCTGTAGTCTTCAGCGCTAGGCGCCCATAGCCATAGCTGTAGTCTTCAGCGCTGGGCGCTATTAGGTGGTAGATCGTAGAGTTGGGAGAGATGGCTGGCGGAGGCCAGCGGTACTTACCTGTGGCGCCCTAGCTCCAGCTCCATCTTTGAGGTACCTGCATCAAGGCGCCAACTTCACAGGTTAGTACTGGACACAGAGAGAGAGAGAGAGAGTTCTTCTTCTTCCTCTTCTAAGTCCACCATCTCTTCTCACCCTCTCGCCACCTGACTTCTCAGACTACGACAGAGAGAGAAAGAGTTGTGACTTGAGATCCAGACTGGACATTTGGGATTCAGACATTTTGACGAGGGACTATTTGGGCCTGTGCCGAAGACTTGGTGTTGACGACATTCCCATCTTCCCCTCCTCTTCGTCTAACCCCTCCTTCTTCGTCTGTGTATGGTTGGGGCTGGCGCAGTCTTCCTGTGTGAAGCGCCAGACCCCCTTCACACCAGATAACGATGATGATGATGTATGTGCAGGGCTGCATTGCAATATTGATTGTTCGGATCATTAGTATCTAAGTCTTCCGCTGTGTTATCTTGTACTTTGTATTGAGAGGTCGGTTCTTGTTCTGGTCTGCACGTTACAGTATGCAACAACAGGCCTTATGCATGAGGAGCTTTGTATCAGGGACGCTGGACCCGTTTTCCGGCAGGTTCTGCTCCCCCCGCCAATAGATTGGATCCTCTGGTCGGCCTGCTAGGAGTTGGGGCTTGTACTACTGCCTCTAGTAACCCTGGTGGTGCTTTGTGTGTGTTGGGGGGGGGGAGAGAGAGAGAGAGAGAGAGAGAGAGAGAGAGAGAGAGAGAGAGAGAGAGAGAGAGAGAGAAGTAAATCATGTCAGTGAGAGCTTTGAGGCCAGCTGGTGACGCTTTAACTGGAGTGTGAGGTCATCAGCAAAAAGGGATGCAATGGGGATCAGGTGGGGTGAAATTTGTGGAATGTGATCCTTTCTGTACTAGCTGGTTTGGCCCTGTAAGGGGACCAAGTGCCTCCATTACCAGGGTGAAACGTCAAGGGATTATAGGATTGCCCTGTCTCTCTCTCTTCTTTTTTTTTTTTTTTTTTGGGGGGGGGGGGGGGGGGGGGGGGGGGGGGGGGGGGGGGGGGTGTGCTGGGGGGAAGGAACTGTGGCTGTGACACTCTTTTTTAGTTTCAAATAGGTAAGAAAACACAAAGTGGAGCCGTTGTCATGGTGTGAGTTTCAAAATGTGCAAGTTTAGCGGGGGTCTAAAACTGCAGCAGTCATTCATTACCCGCAGCGGCGCTTGGCAGATTCAGGGTCGCCCTTTTTGCTCCATTAATTTTTGGGAACTGCTGAAGTCGCCTATTCTGAACGCTGGGTGTGACTCCAACGTACTTGCCCCTCTTTTTTTTTGTTGAAAAACACTCCGGGACCCTCCAATGTTAGAAGTGTTGGTAGAAGCAGTCACCACTAGCACCCGGGGGGAGGTTCCATCTGTCGGTGGGGAGCGCGACCTGCTGGAAAGCTTCCCAGCACCGCTTGCTTTCAGAATCATTCTGCCCTGTCTCACTAAGCTTTGTGGTTGGAATGGAGCAGACACGTGGCCATTTGCTAGGATGTTCAGTACCGCTGTCCCATGGAGCGATGCCCCATCGAGTTTCGGAAAGTAGGGCGAAATTTCATTTTATGCAGATACATGTCCAGAAAGTCCCAATCGATCCACATGATCATATGCCTTTTCAAAGTCAACAAAAAGAATGGCAGTTTCCTTGTTCCTTCGCCTAGTGAACTAGATAGTGTTGTTCGCTAACAATATGTTGTCCTTGATGTTATTTTGTGGTACAAAGCCTGTCTGATGACTCTGATCATCATGTATGAGAAGGTTCATGCAAGGCAAGAGTCGATTGGTCAGTGCTGTAGCCATGATCATATTGTAGCGTAGAGTAAGCAAAGCAATTGGTCTATAATAATTCCTTATGTCTTCCTTATCCCTCTTCTTGTATAACAGTGTTGTGACCCCTTGGCTAATTCGTAGAGCCCCCCAAGAGATGATTCTTCCTGTACTGCCAGGAGAAAATCCATGAAACTATCTTTGAATAGTTCCCAATATTTGAGCCAAAATTCCTTGGGTAGCAAGTCCAGGCCTGACACTTTCTCATCATCCATCTTTTGTTGGGCAGCAAAGAGATCGCCCTCCGTAAGTGGGGCTTCCAAGCCCTGTCTCTGTTCGGAGGTCAGCATGCGGTTGAGGGCATACTCACATGAGGACTTCTTTCCACAACGCTCTGGACGTGATGGCGGTCAGATTCATCCTGATCTCGTCGTAATTGCAGTC